ACACGTTTTATACGTGGTAAAGCCACGTTGCAACTATATTATGGTTTTGTGTTGTGTCTCGCCAGCTACGCAGTCAGGAATTTGAATGCTAATTAGGTGCCAAGTTTTAAAAATAAGTTGCTCTAAAATTTTCACCACAAAGAACTGTCGAAATTTGCGTTGCTGGCAAAATGTATCGTTAGCAACTCAGTGACGATAATAGGTATACAATAAATGTTAATAGAAAGATATTAAGTGCTAATTAAGTGATGCAAGTACAGGCAATAACAAGGCGCCCCTAATAAAAATAAAGTCAAAGTTATTCAGAACAAAGTAGATGCAAAAATCAGATCTTCTGAAAATGGTAAAACTATAGACATCCGGTACTTACGTACAGAGGGTAGGGGAAGGTCTGGAGGGGGGAGGGTTTCTGGCGTTTACTTAGTACTGATTATAGCTATAATAATTTATTTGCTTAGTAGCACACATTTGACTGTCAGTATATCGAAGTGCTCAAGTGTTTGTACGAGTACAGTAGGGCTACGATGGTTATCAGAGTATAGAACAAGAGTACAAAACCTATCCAACTGCAGAGAGGTGTAATACAGGCTGACGTTATTTCCCCGAAACTCTTCACTGCTGCACTGGAAAACGTTTCAAGCTACTGAATTAGAAAGGATACGGTATTAACATCAATGGCGAGTACATTACTCACCTTTGATTTGCCGACGATATAGTCCTTATGGCAGAATCACTGGATGACCTAAGCTCTATGCTCAATGACCTCAATAGTGTCTCCCAACGGATAGGTATTAAGGTGAACATGAATAAAACAAAGATCATGTCTTATCTATGCCGGTAGTAGTTGGGAGCACTAAACTGGTACTAATAGTTCGACTAGGGAAATCCAACTTCAACCGAGTGGTCAATAGACAGAGGTCAGATATACCTCAAAACTTGAAATACGAGACTGAACAACCAGTGCGTGTTGCCAGTGATGACTTATGGAACCGAGACGTGGTCCTTCACTGCTGGCAGTATGGGGAAGCTCAAGATTGCTTAGCGAGCTATAGAAAGGGCTCTGCTCGGGGTTCTCTCCATAGACAGACATCTACATTTATCCTCGATTACGAATCAAAATGCAGATGCGTTGTCACCCGTGAAGACCTTTACTGGAATGCCTCGTTTCCAGTAAAAAAGCGGCCAAGTGCGAGTCGGACTCGCCCATGAAGGGCAAGTTATATAATATAAAAGTTAATAATAGTGTATTTTTTATTTTTATATTTGAGTTGATTGAATGAAAGGTAAATTGCGGTTTACGATTTATGACGTATTAAAAAAAAAGCTACTAACTAGATCTCGTTGAAACCAATTTTCGGTGGAAGTTTACATGGTAATATACATCATATATATTTTTTTAGTTTTATCATTCTCTTATTTTAGAAGTTACAGGGGGGGGGCACACATTTTACCACTTTGAAAGTGTCTCTCGGGCAAACTATTCAGTTTAAAAAAATGATATTAAAAACCTCCATATAATTTTTGAAGACCTATCTATAGATACCCCACACGTATGGTTTTGATGAAAAAAAATTTTTTGAGTTTCAGTTCTAAGTATTGGGAACCCCTAAAATCAATTGTTTTTTTTTTCTATTTTTGTATGAAAATTTTAATGCGGTTCACACTATACATCTACATACCAAGTTTCAACAGCATCGTTCTTATAGTTTCGGAAAAAAGTGATTGTGGCATACGGACGGACAGACAGACAAATATGACGAATCTATAAGGGTTCCGTATTTGGCCATTTGGCTACGGAACCCTAAAAAGGGTATTCAGTTCCCTACACTCACCATACACAGCAGCGTTAAGCTACTTTACGCTGGTGTTCTGTGAGAGCTTGGTCCTTCCTCGGTTGAACCGAGGCCTATGTTCAGTACATTTCGGATTCGGACTTGTGAAGGGCTGTAATGATGATGATGATGAATGAGTAGTACTCATATTTCCTCTTATTAGCGGCTAAACTAGTAGTGCTTACAGTAAGGTGGATAACGACCTCCTTTGTTTATTTACTGACATTAACACAAATAAAATCTGTTTATACCAATTTCTTACGGTCATGCTGTGTGGCGGCGGATTAAGAAAATTCATTACTTACACCATATGGTTCCATAAGCCGTAATACGAGTGAAGGAAATTACAATAGAGATGGGTAGCACAATCTTTCGGGTAACTCTTTAATTAAAACCGATATATATACACTAGCTCGGCAAGCAGACGTTGTTCTGCCGTTTCCAACGACCCTTCCCATAAAAATCCTTAAATTCACAATAAAAAATTTTGAGGGTCATCTATTTATCTACACGCACAATCCCTGACGGGGTAGCCAGAGAGAACAGATTGCCAAGTGTCACGATCCTTACATACCTCTTTCGCTTCTTTCAGATTCATTATCTTCTTCATACATGCACGTCTAGGTATCCGAGTACTCTTGATCCTCCCCTCTTCGAGCAATTTGCTCACATGGTCTTCGAAAGTTAGTCTTGGTCTACCTCAACACCTTTTAATATAAACTTTCGCGCTATATATTTTCTTCACCATTCGGTCTTCACTCATTCGCTCAATGTGCCCAAACCATCGAAGCACGCGATAAGGTCATCTTTCAAACCTGCCATATTGCGAATCTCTTTGTTTCGCTTTCGGTCGGCCATGGTAACGCCCCACATTTTATGAAGAGATCGCATCTCCACTGCATTCAACTTGCTTTTATGCTTCTTCTGGTATACGCAGTGTAGCGTAGCCACATATTATATGTCAAAAATTAAAAATATAGTTTGAACTGTCAACTGCCCTGTGCGTGATTCATGTTGTTTTTCCTTATATTAAATATAGGTGCTAAATTAATATTAAAATCTTAATTATTATAAAAATTGCATTAGCCTTCCGTTTGTATATATTGTGTGTTGTTATAAACTATAGTGTGGTAGTAAATGTACTGTTATTGTGAACTGTGGAGCCGATTTATAAAGGGAATAAAGATTATAACAGTGAACAGTGAGTTGTTTCTTATCACCAATTTCACTACACTGGTGACCCCGGAAGTTTGGACACTAGATAAAAATATTCATCAAAAGCTCCATAAATAGCAATGGCAAACACCAACGACACTAATAAAGCAGGAGAAAGTAGCTCATTTTCACCTTCCGACGTTTGTCGCGTCGGAGTACGCCTGCCTCCGTTTTGGCCAGAAGAACCAGGCGTATGGTTTGCCCAAATAGAAGGCAATTTTGCACTTTCTGGAATAAAAGATGATGACACCAAATATTTTTATATCATTTCACAACTGGATCATCGGTATGCAGCTGAAGTGAAGGACATTATAGTTTCACCGCCGGCAAAAGGCAAATACGAGAAATTAAAGACCGAGCTGATAAAAAGATTGTCAGCATCAAGAGAAAAGGAAGTAAAGCAACTATTGATGCATGAGGAACTTGGTGATCGCCGCCCGTCACAATTTCTGAGGCATCTGCAACATCTAGCAGGTCCTAATGTTCCTGACGATTTTATTCGAACAATTTGGATCAGTAGGTTGCCAAACAACCTACAAACTGTCATAGCGTCACAACCAGACTCAACGCTGCAAGCACTAGCAGATTTGGCAGACAAAGTTCATGACCTCGTACCTACTGTGCCACAAGTTGCGTCAACAAACGCAATATCGGTTGATTTGCTAGACAAAATGACTCAACAAATAGCTGAGCTCACTCGTCAGGTTCAAGCCCTATCAGCTAGGGACAACAGGAGTAGATCCCGTTCAAGGAACTGTAATAGTCGAAGCTAACGCAAAAATAGTAGGTCTCGTCGGTCCCAATCTAATTATAAAAAAATTCCGATTTGCTTTTACCATCACAAATATGGTGACAAAGCAAGAATATGCCTCAATCCATGCGACTATAAACAGGAAAACTCTCAAGGCGGTCGTTAATGGTGACAGACGATTGCCTTAGCTTATCCGGTCGCCTGTTTGTTTAGGATCGACGATCAAAAGTGCAATTTTTAGTCGACACGGGTAGCGACATACCGCAAACGACGTGCGATTTTTTTGCTGCCAACGGAACGCCGATATCTACTTATGGGTTCGTACACTTTAATTTAGACTTAGGTCTTCGGCGAGATCTCAGCTGGCGATTTGTAGTCGCTGATGTAAATAAAGCCATAATAGGTGTTGATTTTTTATCATTCTACCACATCATTATTGACTGCCGGAATCGACGTCTCATCGATAGCAGTACAAATTTATCAGCTTCCGCTACATCAGCTCTTTCATCAAACGCCATATCATCGGTAAAAACCATTTCCGGTGAATCTAAGTACCACACTCTTTTGCGCAACTTCCCTGATATAACTCGACCTTCAGGCACGCATAAAGTTCCTAATCATAATACTCTCCATTATATTAGGAAAACTCCAGGACCTCCAGTTTCTTGTGCACCAAGGCGATTGGCTCCTGACAAATTGAAAATAGCGAAGGCAGAATTTGAAGCTATGCTTAAAAATGGGACAGCAAGACCTTCAGAAAGTCCATGGTCATCTCCACTACATCTGGCACCTAAAAAAGATAACGGGAGGAGACCATGTGGCGATTACAGGTTATTAAATGCACGCACAATACCTGATAGGTATCCTATCCTATACGTAATATTCAAGATTTTACGTACAATATATCAGGATGCAAAATTTTTTCAACCATTGATTTAGTTAAAGCATATAATCAAATACCGGTAAATCCAGAAGATATTTCAAAAACGGCCATAACGACGCCCTTCGGATTGTATGAGTTCCCGTATATGACGTTTGGCCTGAGAAATGCCAGCCAAACGTTCCAAAGATTCATGGACGAAGTGACGAGAGGACTCGATTTTTGCTACTCCTATTTGGACGATTTTTTAATTTTTTCAAAAGATGAACAAGCACACCTTAAACACCTCCATCAAGTTTTCACAAAATTGTAAGACTATGGAATGGTAATAAACACGTCCAAATGTGTATTAGGAGCCTCCACTGTAAACTTCTTAGGCTACACCGTTTCACCCGATGGCGTCAAACCCTTGACCTCAAAAGTACAAGGCATCAAAGATTTTCCAGTGCCAAAGAACGTGAAAGAATTGAGAAGATTCCTGGAAATGTTAAATTTCTATCGCAGATTTGTCCCAGGAGCAGCAGAAACGCTAAAAGCGGTCTATGAAAATATAAAATATTTTCGGCATATGCTCGAGGCGAAACACTTCACCATATTTACTGATCATAAGCCAATATGCTACGCATTTCAACGTCGAAAAGAAAAATGTTCACCACGGCAATTTCGCTATTTAGATTACATATCCCAATTTACAACGGACATACAACATATTTCTGGGAAAGAAAATGTCGCAGCTGACACTCTTTCACGAATAGAGGAATTATCTAAGCCCGTCGACTTAAGCACACTCGCAAAAGCGCAGTCAGAAGATCCTGAGTTAAAAAAAAATTATAAATGGTGAAACATCACTTCAACTAATTAAGGTTAAAATACCAGGTACGCTAGAAGAATTATACTGAGACAATAAAACGCAAATAACTCGCCCTTATGTGCCCCAGAAACTTCGACGGCAAATTTATGCAACACTGCATTCACTGAGTCACCCAGGCGCTAATGCTACCGCAAAATTAGCAGCACAGCGTTACGTTTGGCGCGGTATGAACAAAGACTGCCGAGCATGGGCTAAAGCATGCCACGCCTGCCAGACCTCAAAAATTACCCGACACGTGTCGTCGCCGTTACACACATTTGAATTGCCACGTACCCGGTTCCAATACATTCACATAGACATAATTGAACCTCTTTCACCATCAGAAGGTTTTCGGTACTGTCTGACAGCGGTAGATAGATTCACACGGTGGCCAGAAGCAATCCCATTAATAGATATTACTGCGGAATCCGTTGCAAAGGCCCTGCTACTAGGTTGGATTTCGCGATTTGGATGTCCTGTGGAAATAATAACTGATCGGAGAAGGCAGTTTGAATCATCGCTGTTCAAATATCTTTCAGATTCAATAGGTTTCCAACACAAGAAAACAACTGCTTATCACCCTGCATGTAACGGAATGGTGGAAAGAATGCACAGGCAGTTAAAATCGGCTATAACTTGTCACGGTAACCAACACTGGACTGAAAGTTTGCCACTAGTATTATTAGGTATGAGAAGTGCTTTAAAGGAAGATCTACAAGCATCGCCGGCTGACTTAGTTTATGGTGAACCGTTAAGACTACCGGGAGAATTCTTTTATTCTTCCTTGACAACAACCAATGATGTGACGGATTTCACTGCACGCCTAAGTGCTAACATGGAAAATATACGTCCATTGCCAGCATCACGGCACAGTAAATACAAGACCTTTGTTTTCAAAGACTTGCCAACAGCTACGCACGTGTATCTGAAAGATGAAACAAAATCGCGAGCATTTCAACCATCTTATACAGGGCCATACAAAGTCATACAAAGAAATGATAAAGTTTATAAACTTCTAATTAGAGGCAATGAAGTCACAGTTTCCATAAATCGGCTAAAACCAGCCTACACAATTCAGGAAAACACTGAACTCCAAGGTCCTGTCATATTGCAGCCGCCTGAAAGTAAAGAAGACATTAAGATTAAAAAAACACGTTCGGGACGAAGTGTGAGATTCCCAGATTACTATCGCCCGTCATGAGACGGTCTCTGGGGGGGAGTGATGTGGCGTAGCCACATATTATATGTCAAAAATTAAAACTATAGTTTGAACTGTCAACTGCCCTGTGCGTGATTCATGTTGTTTTTCCTTATATTAAATATAGGTGCTAAATTAATATTAAAATCTTAATTATTATAAAAATTGCATTAGCCTTCCGTTTGTATATATTGTGTGTTGTTATAAACTATAGTGTGGTAGTAAATGTACTGGTATTGTGAACTGTGGAGCCGATTTATAAAGGGAATAAAAATTATAACAGTGAACAGTGAGTTATTTCTTATTACCAATTTCACTACACGCAGGTTTCGCTGCCATATAACAAAGTCGGTGCCACACTGCGTTATGTATTGCAAGGCGTGCACTCTTCACTACGCCTTGCCTTTTGACTAACGCAGTCAGGGCACCATTGACTTTGTTCCCGGCAGCGACACGCCTGTCCACATCTAAACCACATCTTCCATCCCGGCTAAAAGAACTCCCCAAGTATACAATTTCAATTACCTGTTTTAGACATTCCTGATTTACCCATATTTCACACTTCGTTCTCTCTTCGTCCCTTTCAAATACCAGAACCTTAGTTTTATTAGCATTCAAACGGAGACCTTTAATTTCACATTCCTTTTTCATACACGTGACTAATGCCTGCAGTTCTGCCTCTGATGGTGCAATAAGCACTGCATCATCAGCATACAGCAGACAATTTACTTTAATGTCTCCCAATTTCACACCCAAACAGCTATCTTTCAGCTTCTGTAAACAGCTGTCGAGATACAGTATGAACAGCCAGAAAGACATGACACGATCCTGTTTTACGCCCATTTGGACGCCAAACATGGGTGACAGGTCATGCCCTACCCGCACACAGGTTTTACAGTCACAGTAAAGTGACTGGACAGAGGGTCATATAGCGGGATAAAAACTATCCTATCTCTCAAGTTGGACCAAAAATGTGCAAAATTTCATTGAAATCAGTTATATATATATATATATATATATATATATATATATATATATATATATATATATATATATATATATATATATATATATTATATATATATATATATATATATGTGGTCCGGTCAGTAGGTGTGAATTGGGGCTTCTGCGTCACTCGCTCTCGCATTCGCTCTCGCTTCAAGCCGACGAAGACCCCAATTCTCTCCAGAGAGGTAGAACATTTTTAGTTTAACCAAATTAATGTCTACATACTCACAGTTCTATCCTGCGGGAACAAGTGTACTCCCACTTCCAGTTGAGTTATTGAGCATTATATTCAGAGCGTTTGCGAGATACTGATGGCATTGCTGCATCTATATGATTAATTTCTAATAATACAACTAGTTTAGCCTAATTTCATTGCGGTTAGTGCTAATAAACGTTTTTAAGCTATTGCATAGCATTTATCGAGGGCTTTGAGTGCAGCGACCGAATCAAGAAATTCCGTAACGAAAAAAACCTAAGACCCAAAATCTAACATCGTAAATCCATTACAATAAAGATATTAATTAATTTGCATCCATCCGCTAACTAAATAAAATGATGTGTTTTATCTGGATTGAAGAGCGTCTCCCGCCCTCCCTCAATTGTTTCATTATTGTTTTATTCTCATAGCGAGTGCACGTTGATTACAACGCTCGTCAAATATCATCTATATTGGTGAGTTTAATAATTTTTCTTTACTATTTAGTAATTCAGCCGCCATTACCTTTTTTTACTTCATACTTGTTTTTGTTAATTGCAGATCATGGCTAATACTAAGGAACACAATGATTCTAATCTTATCACTAATCCGTACTACTATGCACAGGATGTGGATAAATTAACACTAAATTATTACAACCGAAAGGAGCAGCTTCACGATTTACCACCAAATAGAATAATTATTAATGAAGAGCGGCAATCGAAATCAAAGAAATGTTACAGGAAGAGAAACCGTTCTCAAGAACCATCATCAACATCATCATCATCTTACATTATCCGCCGAGATAAAGATAAACGTGGTCATCGTCTGATTAAAATCAGCATTTGCGAACTTAACGGGCAAGAAGAAAATGTCATCCACGATCTTAGTGCTAATATAAATGTTCAATATGTTGTGGATTCAATGTATGATGAAGTGTTAGATGCTACAAATTGTCTTATAAAAAAAGTAGATGAAAAATTATGTTAGAACGAGTAATTTAATTAATGTAGCTTGTAAAATATAATAAAAGTTATAGACTGAATTTTATTGTTGTTTTATGATGTATTATTATTATTCAATTGTGTAGAGGAAAAAAGAAAAAGACATTGTTACAACGAATGTATTTATTAAAACTAATTATTTCGATTTTCGATTTTAACTGAAAGCAACTAAACATAGATATATTTTATTGGAAATCAAACAATCATTTTGTTTTCAAAACATCATTTCATAATTTATTTTTATTTATTTATTTATTTCGACCAGCAAGGATCATAGGGTAATATTACATTCATTCAAGTTAATTCTAATACTAAAATTATTACTCATTACTAAAATTAATATGTCTAATGCATAATAATATTGAAAATATAATAATTATTTAATATTTACAAAATAATATAAATCAATGTTAACGTAACTCACAACAGACCCGACTTAATAATATATTAACAAAATCATAAACATAACTTATATTAATAATATAATAATAATAATTAATCATTTATTGCAGACGATAATTTGTTAAAAGTAGATAGTAAAATTAAATAAATATTACTTCATATATCTGGGTTGCCTGTCCGAGGCAATGGATACATGGACATGAACATGCATCCAGTGCCGCAAAAAAGTACAATCGGGTTTCTCGCTAATTACGTTAAGAATGCTGTTGGCGCTCCCACGAACCCTGTGCAACAGTGACGCAGCTTTTTTGCGAATCAGTGTTCAAAAATTGTCTATGTGGGCATTAACAAACATACCTGATGCACTACAGTTACGTGGAAGCCCCAGCAACAATCTAAAAGCGTTATTATAATGTATACGTAGGGTGTTGTATGCCCGCTGCGTAAATCTGACACATAAGGCGCACGTATAGAGGGATTGGCAATTGGCCTTAAATAAAATAAGTTTTACCTCGACTGTACAACGTGAGAACCGGCGGGCCAGCATATTGTAGCGGACAGCCAGCGCCCTACTTTCTCTTTCAATATCCTTATCATCTTTTAAATCTTCGGTAACCACATGGCCGAGGTACGTAAATTCGGTTACTCGTTTAAGTGCAACACCCCCAAAAGTTACAGGTGGTACGAAATTAGGTTTCTTCGTGCCCACTTTAAACACCATGAGCTCACTCTTTGCAACATTATATTTTAAACCGTGGGCTTCTGCATAAACCTCACATATGATCAAAAGCCGTCTGAGTGCACTGACTGATGGGCTCAGAAGCACCATGTCGTCTGCGTAACTGATATTGTTCATGCAGAGTCCATCAATAGAGCAGCCGACATGTGCACTCCCGAGTCTATGAATCAGTTCATTTATATATAGATTAAAAAGCGTAGGTGAGGTTAACCCCCCTTGCCTCACACCGCATATACTCGTTCGACAGTGCATTAGACCACCTGACCTTATTAATTTGATGACCGTACCAATAGCTAAAAATGCTAATGTACGAGACGGGTAGACCAGCCTTTCGCAATTTATCCCACAGAATGTCATACCTGACAAGATCGAAAGCCTTTGAAAGATCCAGGAAGGCCGCATACACTGGCCTATTCCTTACAGTGTAATACCCCACAATAT